GGATTTTTTCAGTTTCAAAACGACTACCTCCTTCATAGCTGCTGAATAAATGTCAATTCTTAAATAACCTGATCAGTGGCTTTTGAATGGCATATAATATTGTACACAGGTAGAGAGTCTTTATTAATTAATTAATTTATTTATTTATTTATCATTTTTTTAATACTGATTTGGGAAAAACTGCCATTCGCCATAGAAGTTAAAGGGTTCAAACATTTTTTTTCATTATGCTTGTCTTCTGTACCTTCTTCATCTCGGGGCCCATCATAATCATGTGCTTCTCCCTTGCGAAAGACCTTCAGAGTAGGGTAGCCGCTGACTTCATACCGTGACCCAAGATCTTTTTCTTCGGTGGCATCAACTTTAGCAAATGGTACAGGAGGATCATTCTCTTTCATTCTTTTGGCAGCTTTGGCATATTGCGGGGCTAGCTGTTTGCAGTGGCCACACCTAAAAACAGATGGAATATAGAATTCAAACCATTAGGAATGCTGAGCATCCAAGTAATAGGAGTCCCTGACCATGAATGCATCAAACATTTATGCCGATCTCTTAAGACGAGGCTCAAAACTTAAGGCCATTTGAAATGGTGAAGTATACATGTACGTGACAAGAGGAGAGGGGAGCGTGATGTGATAGGTTCTTGAAAAACATTGTCATGCAGTCAGACTGAACTGGCTTCAAAACTTAAAATTCAACCTAATAAGTCTTTTCTGGGCTCAAAATGTAAATAAATGCGTTTTTGGACTGAAAAAAGATAGATCTCTTTTATCTATGCGTGTTTTTATGAATAATAAAAGTAGGCTCACGACAGCCTTGATTAACAATCCCAGTTTTAAACAAAGCACTAAATTAAGCTTCATAAATGCATTGTATTCTCATTAAAATATGCGGATATATCGCTAATAATAGCTTGCCCAAGACAGAACAAATTAATTGATTTTCAGTTATAATGAAACTTCAATACTCCATTCATTTAACCATTAAGAAACTACACGTGCGAAATATTATTTGTCTGGCTTTTTCCCTGCAAGTACTATTGAATTCATTGCCCGCATTAAAAGCCAACCAAGAGGATCAACAAATATATTTTTTCCAGCGGATCAACGCGCGTTATACAGGTTTAAATTTCAGTGCTAAATGCAATCAAGAGTTAACTTATATTTCTAAACAAATTCAATGAAAATAGAGACAAATTTGATCGCTTCGAAGCATGTTGCATTGCTTCCAAAGATTCAAGAATCAGAAGTTTTGTCAAGTGATCAAGAAACTCAGAAGAGAGAATTTGTGTCAGTGTCCGAAACATAAATATCTACAAACCATGGTGCGTAGAACTCGACTAGTATGATATCTTTATCGTTCACCACAGAGTCGAATGTTTTGGTTGTTAGAACCAAAACATCGTCTTCCTCTTTCACTTCGTCGTCACTGGCTTCGTCGTTCTCAGCTTCGTCTTTTTCAGCTTCGTCTGCTTCCTCCGTTCCTTCTGCGGCCGCTTCTGCCGCTGCATCATCTTCTACACTCTCTTCTGAAAGCGTTAAGGTTGCAGACAGTGCAATTAAAAGGACTAAA